TATTGCCAAAAGGATGCTAAGGGCCCGTTCTTTGTGTAGAAAACAAAGGCTTTTCTCCTTGCATCCCACTTCATTTGAAAGAAGCCACACCACTTTAATCCTTCAACTAATGCACCTCAGTGCGGAACTTCCTTCTCTGGTAGCTAACACAGAGACATTAGAAGAGTCCTGGGTGCTGTGAGAATGTCGGCAGGAAGAGCAAGCAAACAGGTTAACAGAAGTCAAAGCAGCAGCCGGAAGCAGCACAGAGGAGCTGGCATGATTTAGGGTGCCCGACTTTACGAACATTCTGCAATTCGGGGTGACATTCCTCTTGAGGGAGGAATTTAAATAAGGAGTCAAAAATGGTTTTAGAGTGAGATGAAGTTTTGAAAATAAAGATCTTTTTTTTTTTTTTTTGCTAAGTTGCAAAATGACAAATGGGTGTTGTAAGATTGGCACATTGAGAGCAGTAAGCAGACACTTTGTGAAAAAGGAATCCAGAGCACTGTTTGCCAATGATATCCATTGTCTGTCTTACATCTTTTCTTCTCGTTTCCACATGGTTTTCAGGGTTCGGAAAAACTTTTCTTTATGGATTAGAAAGGAGTGCTAGAAGTGATTTAAGCACATTCGTGAATTCTAAGGAGGGGAAGAGAGAAAGAGAACAAGATAGGAAGTTCATTTTCTTTAATTTTACATTTGCTACAAAGAGATACTCCATGTGTGAGTGGTTGAAGACCGGTTTCCCACTTTAAACCTGCTCTCATCCTATATGAGACAGCGTCCTGGAAAAGCTTGTTGCTTCTGCTTGAATAGAACTAGGGAGTGCTTGACTTATTGCATGGCTCACAGTTAGTCTGTCTGGGCCCCATTCCTCCCCTGATTTGGCTGTAGCCAGCGAAGCAAAGGAAGAGTGGCTGTTAATGGGTGTTGGTCTCTAGTAGTTGTGATTTTGGCTTCTTCTGCTTTTTAAGTGAGAGGGTTCCCCCAAGAGTCTTGAAATCACTGGAATTTCTCCTTTTTCCTTAGGATGATAGAATAGAACCTTTTGCAACAAAGCACCTATCAGTCCACTGGGATCAATAATTGGCAATTTGTTCTTGCAAAGAGCTGGATTTGTTGGGCCAACGAAGAGATGACACCTGGAGACCCCCTCTTCTGAGTGAGAGACAGAATGAGTCCCAAGTGTGCTCTGTGCGGGCTTGGATACACAGGTTCATGGGCATGGCCTTGATTGGTCATCCATTCATTTATACTTCCCTCCATCAACAAATAAGCATTGAGCTCCCCCTGCGTGCCAGACATTTTTTCTCACTGTCAAAGAGTAGTTAGTAACACCACGAACCAGCAGAATCTCTGTGCCGAGGGACTTGCTCGCCAGTGGTGGAAATAATAAGAAACCCGATGAATAAACAGGACAGTCTGAAACAGTGATGGATGCTAAAGCAATGGAGGAAAGAGAGTGAGTTTCTGTGTGTCCTCGTGTGCGCAGGATAATTAGGCTACTAGGGAAAGCTTTGCTGAACTGTTAGGTTCTTCTGAGTTAGGTCCCTGTCTTACGTAGGGTTTCTATTGCTGTGAAGAGACACCGTGACCATGGCAACTCTTATAAAGAAAAACATTTAATGGGATGGCTTAGAGTTTCAGAGGTTTAGTCCATTATTATCATGGCTGGACACTGTGGCATGCAGGCGGACGCAGTGCTGTAGAAGAGCTAAGAGCTCTACATCTTACGGGCTACAGGACGTGGTCTGTCTCACCGGGTGTGGCTTGAGCGTGTAGGAGACCTCAAAGCCTGCCTCCACAGTGACACACTTCCTCCAACAAGACCACACCTACTCCAACACGGCCACAGGTCCTAAAAAATGCCACTCGCTTTGGGGGCCATTTTCTTTCAAACCACCTCAGTCCGAAAGAAGGTGACGGAGGAGCCGTAGAATTTCAGGGGCAGGAAGAGTCTGAGGGTGCGAACTGCACTGCAAAGGCCGTGAAGTGAGTTTGTGCCCCTCATGCTCAAAAGCTGCTGAGGTCAGGAAAGGAAAAGATGCCAGGGCTAGCAAGAAGTTTTGCAAGAGGGGTCAAGTCATTCAGAGTCGTTGATTTTTACACATGCACATGTGCACACATACAATGCACACACACATGAGAGAGAGAGAGAGACAGAGACAGAGAGAGAACGAGAAAGATAGAGCCCTTCAGAACGCTTTGAAATGGCCTGAGTTCATATCTTAAGTGGGTCTTTGTTGAAAAGAATCTTCAGGGCAGCAAGGAATGAGCTAGGTAGGAGAGAGCTGAGAGCTGGTTATGTTCACAAGCTGAGGCCCAACAACCAGGATCAAAGACAGCCTTGTAACTGTTTACCCAGAGTCAGGGTGGGGTAGAGAAGCAGGTGGCAAGCGACTCTGAGCATAACTGAATGAGACCACGAGTTCCCTACTTCTTGGCCCGAGAATCGCATAAAGGATCTTGGGGTTGGCTGTTGTTGGTTTGTGGTTTCCTTTCTATAAAAGGCCCACTGTTTGCATTGCTCTTTTAAGAATTTTACTAAAGCCGTGGCTGACCTACTGTCCTTGCTTATGAGCTACGTCTATTCTAGCTGAAAAGGCTAAGCAAACGCCATGATGGGATCCTAATAACCTGGCTGGAAACTAGTCCCCAGTCCTGGCTTCCTTAAACTAGACAGGCAGTTTCTGAGAAAGCCCATGAACAAAGGACAATCAACCAACATCACTCCTGACATCAGGGACAAGGGGAACTGCATGTACTAAGTCTGAGCCAGCCCCCTGCAGCATCTCAATGACCAAATAGGGACAGATCCTGAGATCTGTCCACACACACCCAAAGATGAACAACACTGTAGCCTTAGCCAGTCCCTGCTAGCCCTAACCAATCAGAAATGTACTAATATAATTGCCACTTGCTTAAGGCAATCAAGGACTAACTAATGGTCTAACTGTTTTTGAAATTCATTTAGCTGTGTATAAAAAGAGCCTGCTAGCATCTTTCGGGGTATCCATTTTGTCTGGAACATTTGGCTCTTGAGAACTAAACAATCTTGCTGATTGTACCCACATCTGGTGGTCTTTTATGGGGCTTCTCGTGGACCCTAACACTAGCAATCGCTTTAAAGTTTGGAGGATGTTACAAAGCCTTCTCAGATACTGAATTGGATCCTGGAGAGGAAACGCGACTGTAGTATAAAACCTGGTTAAATCTGAATCACCTATAGTTTACTGAGTGTTATTATCCCGAAAAGAATCAATTTAGCCGATAATCTACCAGTCGATGTGGGAACCACTAGAAGGACTAAATGTTACTAAATGGGAGGTACAAACTTTCTATATTACAATCACGTGTCTCTAAACAGAAGTATTCTAAAGTGAGAAGCTTATTTTCAAATAACTCCCAACCAAGACATGCATGCCAGGCAGGAGGATCGCGAGTTGGAGGGCAACCTAAGCTACATACTGGAGGTCCTTTCTTAGAAAGCAAAGCAGGACAATCTCCTCGTATAGCACAAGCAAAAAGGCTCCCTGAAAGAAAAATTGTACAAGTGTGAAGAATGCAACGATCTTTCACAGATATGTTCTATGTTCTGTGCACTTACGTTTCTTCATCCCTTTAAGAAACTGGCTCTTCGCTGGGTGGTGGTGGCACACACCTTTTATTCCAGCAATTGGGAGGTAGAGGCAGGTGGATCTCTGTGAGTGTGAGGCCAGCCTGGTCTACAAGAGCTAGTTCCAGGACAGGCTCCAAAACTGCAGAGAAACTCTGTCTCAAAAGAACCAAAATAAATAAATAAATAAATGGCTGATATACAAAGTATAGTCAGAAAAACAACCTATTCCTTCTTGCTATTTATTTTTTCACACAGAGCCTTGCAAGTCTGTGCAGATGACCTTGAACTTCTGATTGTCCTGCCTCCTTTTCCTAGGTGCTGAGATTGGATGCTGAGCGTAGGGTTTTGCGCATTCTAGGTAAATACTCCACCAACTGTACCCCATTGCCAGCCCCTTATCACGTCGCTTGGATTAAGCAGCTGCTTTTCAGACCTAGGTGACCCCAGATACTAACTAGGTAATGAGATCTTAAACACATCCCCAAACCAGGGATCATGATGGAAAGGCTCACACACATGCCTGGCAGTCAGCCCTGGGATGGTGGGAACACACAGCCCAGCCAGCATTTGCTCTTGATAGCCTCTTCTAAAACCAGGTTAAATTGCTAGGCTAAATCCACCCCACCGGACCGAGTCTTTGTTTTGGTACACATTTCTGGAGGGAAAAAGCTACAGTAATAGTATTAAGTGAACAGAGCTGTGGAATAATCCATTTTATTCCCAAAGAAGAATGTTTTAAATCTGGGGCCTGAAGCTTTCTGAATCTTTCCATTTGAGATTATCATGCCAAGAAAAAAAAATCAGGTCAGAGTGTTGAAAAGCAGAAAGGGTATAGGGGCTCATTTAAGGAATCAGTGTGGTGCCTAGGTGCCTCACATTCTTCTTGATGGTACAAGGTACACCCTGGTTAGTAGACTAGCTCCGCCCTCCTTTCCTTTGTCCTTGTTCTTGCAAATATAATCGGCAATAAGGCTGCTCAGAGGACAGTGAGGGACTTCTTCACATCTGAGCACAAGTTTTATAATATCTGATAAATGATCATGATTATTACGAGATGTTATTTTCATTCTCTATGAGCTCCCATGGCAATTCTGCCGATCTGAAGTTAAAATATTTTTTTTTGAGGCATATTTAAAAAATATCCATTTGAAGCATCATCAGCCTTGTTTAGTAATTCTTGCATGGGATACCAGCACTGTGGGTCGGGTCTTTACTTCTAGCACTTTCTAAAAGGAAGTTAGACACTCATTTATCGGGGATGTTTTTAAATTAACCTGCAAGGCTGACAGAGAAGAAAGGGAAGGTTGAGCAGTCCTCCCTCTTCTCAAGCTAGGAGGAGGAGGGAAGGAGTTACTTGTCCCCCACCCCAGGATCGCACAGGTAGGGCAGGTCTCCTCACCTCCCCCCACGCCGCAGGCAGGGGCTCTACCGGAGGGTAGTACTTAGGCACGTCCCAGGCCACGGCAGCCATGAACCATTTGAAGTCTTTGCACTTGAGTCTCTTGCGCAACTCCTTCTGCGCGGAGATGTCCCCGGTGGAGAGGTGCCTGTACTCTGGCCGCCGCTGGTAAATATACTCGGCGAATTCATCCATCCAGGTCTCAGCCACACGCTTCAGGTTCTGCACAGCAGGGACAAAGCAAGAAACAAGTTAGTTATTCGCTCCTACGCCCCAAGGATCATTTTACTTGCATCAGAAACCGAAAAGAGAAAAGTAAAAGAAACGAGGTGTCCGCAGGCAGCCCTGGCTGGTGGGTTATTAGCGGTGAGAGCTTTCATGCCTACGAGGAGTGTGATGGGATTAGCCCGTGGCTTAGCACACATTCTGCTTCCGGCCTGGGGTTCAGATGACAATATGTAAATTGATTACCAGAGCTGGAAGAAGCTCTTCTCAAAATTATGACGATTTTGTTGCCATAATTCTGTTATTTAATGGTAATATATACTTATTTTGCCTTTTACGTACAGCCGAAGGAGTTAAAACTGGAGAAGATGCAGCTTCCCTTAGGAATCTAATTACTTAAAGCATTGCAAGATACAGGCATCTTGGAAAGAATAAAGAGGAGTACGCTGCTATTCTTTCCCCACCTCCTAGTGTAGAGAGGCTTAATTTTCTTTTCTGACATGGACGCCAACCAGAATTTAATAATTTACTGCGTTTGGAAGTGGAAGGAAGGGAATTATCAGACAGTCAGTCTCTCTACAGGTGCTTCCTGGGGCGAAGAAGTCAGGAGACAGACGGAAGGAAAAATAAGCAAGTTCTTTAGGATTAGAAGGTTTTTGTTTGTTTGTTTTTTGTTTGTTTGAGACAGAGTCTCACTATGTAGCTCTGGCTGTCCTGGAACTCACTGTGTAGACCAGTCTGGCCTCTAACTCACAGAGATCTGCCTTTGAAGCACTGGGATTAAAGGTGTGTGCCACTATGGCTGGCCTGGAAGGTTATGTGTTTCCTGGCTTTGGGGTTGAGCAAATTGCTTAGCCACACTGGGTTTTAGATTCTAAATCCAAGAATGGCAAGAGCAGTGTGTGGGTTGTTTGTAGGATTCAGTGAAGTAGCTCTTCTTGTAAACTACTTAGAATTAGTACACACCAGCTGCTGTGGGAGCTCCTTCAGCCAATAGCCTTTAAGATACCAACCCACTTGGGTGTGGTCTCTTATACTATAATTGCCGAGGTAAAGCACATGCTCACTCTCTCATCCGTCCGGCGGCTGGATTTGGTTCCTGTTCCCTGTTTGTGCAGAGGACTGTGATGTAGGACTGTGATCTGTGAGCCTACCCCTAATTAATAACTCTTTATTATACCTAATTCTGAGCTAGTGTGGGGTTATTTTGTAACTTCCTTCGTCACCTGGCACCCAACGTGGGAATCAGTCCATCGTTTTTTTTGGGATCAAAAAGTAAGCTGCCATTATGAGTACTAGAAAGAGTTCAGTATTGGAAATGGAAGAGCTTGGGTATTAGGCTGGTCATTCTATCTCAGGTCTCCGAGAAAGAAGCGGAGTGGAGATGAGATACTGTCTGTCATCCTTTCAAATTCTGTGGCAATAAGTGGTATACAGAACAGCTGCATCTGCCTAGATGGCGCCAACTTGATGCCTTCAGCTCTATGACCATTTTCATGGGCTTGGGTCCCATGAACTCTGGGTATTGTTATTTCATGTTTAAGTCCTTTAGTTTAAAGGCTTGGTTTGTATAAGCATTGGTCTGGTCCACTTTCTCGTTTGCTTGAGAGGACAAAATGACCATGGTTGGAAATGTCAGTCAGAGTTCAACATAAGTGATGAGAGTAAAAGCTCGTCACTTTATCTTAAAGAGTTGGTATGGGACCTTAAGTCAGATACGAACCCTGAGGTCTGCTGGAGCCAGAGAGGTATTTTATTCATAATGGGACTGGATGCCTCACTCCACTGTCTTCAGGCAGAGCATGTATTTGCCTGATCCTTACTTCATACCCTCCTCAGATCTCTTGGCCATGATTTCTAGGTGGTGAGAGCTGGGGTGGGCTCAGTTAACAGAGTTTAAGGCAGAAGTAGAGTCACAAACACTGCTCTCTCATTCTTGGCTTTCTTTTTTTTTTTTCTTTCTTTTTTTTTTTTTTGGAAATCAGTGTGGCAGTTTCTCAGGAAATTCGGGATCAACCTACCCCTGGACCCAGCAATACCACTCTTGGGAATATACCCAAGAGACACCCTATCATATGACAAAAGCATTTGTTCAACTATGTTCATAGCAGCACTATATGTTATAGCCAGAACCTGGAAAAAACCTAGATGTCCTTCAATAGAAGAATGGATGAAGAAAGTGTGGAATATATACATATTAGAGTACTACTCAGCGGTAAAAAACAATGACTTCTCGAATTTTGCATGCAAATGGATGGAAATAGAAAACACTATTCTGAGTGAGGAATCCCAGACCCAAAAAGAGGAACATGGGATGTACGCACTCATAATTGGTTTCTAGTCACAAATAATGGTCAGTGAGTCTATATTCTGTGATCCTAAATAAGCTAAAATAAGAAGGTGAACCCAAAGGAAAACATGTAGTTATTATCCTGGATATGGGAAGTAGACAAGATTGCCGGGCAAAAAATTGGGAACTTGGGGGAGGGGAGGGATGGGGGTAAGGGGAGACGGGGAGAGAAAAGTAAGAAGGGGAGAATGGGGGGAACTTGGGTAAACGGGATGACTGGGAGAAAGGAAGGTTGGATAGAGGAGCAGGGACTCATATAACTTAATTAAGGGAGTCATCCTAGGGTTGGCAAGAGTCTTGGCTTTCTTGTTTTCTAAGATGCTGGTACACAGTTAGGGAAATGACAGTGAGATTGTAAGAATTACTCCCGAAATATTCTATTTGATTTCCTTTGCTTCCCAGTCTCACCAGGATTGTCTCACACAGCTTGCTTTCCTTGTTCACTCCAAGGAGTCTTGGCAGGTAAAAGTGAGCCTCGTTTTGTGATACTCTAACCTCACCAGTGATTCTATATTGCCTGATTCATTAGGGTTCTGAACTGCCCAATTCATTAGGGTTCTGTAGCGACAATAAAAACAGAGATGTTGACCAATGGAATTAAATTGAAAAAAAAAATTTAAAACAAAGAAGTCAAAAAAGGCAGCATCTGTCTTCAATAAATGGTGCTGGTCAAACTGGAAGACTGAATGCATGTAGAACGCAAATAGAACCATGCTTGTCACCCTGTACAAAACTCAACGCTGAATGGATCATGAACCTCAGAAGAGGACCAGCCACCCTAAATCTGATAGAAGAGAAAGTGAGGTAGGCTTGAATTGGGAATAGATTTTTCTTACTAGGGGGAAGCCTTCTGAAGCATTAATTGTTGTGTTCAAGGAACAGACATCATTCCCAAGTCTTTCCATGGACTGGACAAAGAAAATCTCTCCAAGGCCATTACTCTAGAAATAACAGCACACTGTGCTAATTTGTGGCTGTAATCATAATTCAGTACTTAGCTTTTGGGAAAATATTGGAACTACAGCTGAAAAATGTCACAACAGTTGCGAGAAGAGTTTCCATGGTCTTTTTATAGATTGCAGCGCAGCTTCCACTATTCCAGGAAGTAGTTATACTCACACGCATTAGCGCGCATTGGCATGTTTATACAGGAGCACACACACACACGTTCAAATACATGGCAGTAATGGGAAGGTGCAAAGGCAGATTTCTCACTTAGGCATTCATAGCTATGGTAATGTGCAAAATCACGAAAGGGAGGCGTTCCAATAACGTCTCTTGCCAGGAGAGTTCTCGCCAGTACTTTCCCATCTGTGTCTGAGATAGAATGAATGTTGACGGTGGTGCTTATGTGTTCAAAGCAGTTATCAAAGAGAAAGGAAAAAAGAAACCTAGATCAGGAGATCTAGACCAGCACTCGGTCTTCTCCCAAACAAGCAGAACTTAGATGTGGTCTTATGTACATAGAGCCAGGAATTCCCTAGGGTTTCTGCTAATTTTTGAGTCTAAAATAAAAGTGTGTTACTCCTAAATTACATGTTAGGGTAATCCTGTGGATTCCTTGGGTGGGGATAGGTGCTCATATAACCAACCTTCAGTTTCCTATTTGGGGATTTTTTTTTCCTCTGGCTGATATATTGCTCACTAACCTTTATGAGTGAGCATTTGTGTGGGGCTTTTTAAACTTTTTTTTCTTGAGACAGGGTTTCTTTGTGTAATAAATCTGCTCTGGAACTCACTTTGTAGAATAGGCTGGCCTCAAACTCACAGAGATCCACTTGCCTCTGCCTAAAGGCCACCCTACTTTTTTTTTTTCAAAGACAAGGTTTCTCTATGTACCTCTGGCTGTCTTGGAACTCACTCTGTAGACTAGACTGGTCTCTAACTCAGAGATTCTCTTGCCTGTCTTCTAAGTGCTGAGATTGAAGGCATGTGTCACCCTCGCCTGAATAATTTATCTTATCTTTCAAGCATTCCTTCAATAATTTACCTGTGTGTGAATGTTTATGGAGGGTTTCATGCAACTTCCAGAACACAGATGATGAAACAACATAGAGTGATGGAAACTATGGTAGCTGGTCCCCTGGATTCTTTACAGATCTATGACTTTCTGTAAGAAAATAGTCTCTGCCCAGAATATCCTCCTTCCGTCTGTTAGTTCTGGCCCATGGTGCCCTCCTCCTCAAAACTCCCTTCTGTCTGATTTGGAGGGCTATATCATGATCTTCTTTCCATGATCACTGAGTCAGCTTTTCCACTATCTGCCCCTGCTCGTCCATTTTCATAAACAGTCTCCCCTCCATGCACCTTTGTCGTACTGCAGACTTTACTGTGTAAGTATTGCTCATTGTTTAAGACACTCGCACGTCCTTAACATTGCTCCTTAATTCTATTCCTTGGTATGAAACCTCTGCTTACACAAACCGATCTATCCATCATCTTTTAAAATAGAGCAACGACTCCCATCTTTCTCTTTATTGGCTCTCCATCCTCAGCCTCAGCATCTCTCTCTCTCTCTCTTGGTCTTCTGATATCCTTCCTTAAAACTCTTATTTCTCCCAGTTAGCATTGCCAGAGAAAATACACGGCATATAGTTGAATGTCACTTTCAAATAAACAACAAAAATTGTGAGTATAATTAGCATTT